GGTACTCTTTATTTATTTCGAAAAAATGAACGGTTTGCGAGATAAATCGGTTTTGAAAAAAATTGGTAACAAATACAACAACAATTAAAATTTATTTTTTTTACATATTATTTCATGCATTTAATTTCTTTAACTTTATCAAGTCCAGAAATCTTTGAACGGGTTGGCTATACTTTATGAGCAAGTAGTGACCAATTAAAAATAACATTTGAAAAATAACTTACTTACAAGACATGCAACAAAGAACATTCAACAATGAACAAAGGTACCTAAATGTTACTTCGGTAGATGTTCAAAATGAGCACCCCGTACTTCAATGCACTTTCTAATCCTACGAATGTTTTCCCGGTGCACTTGAAATAATATTCCGTGATTATTGCGGAGATGGTCACAGTTCTGTGTTAGCCTCAGCAGAAGTTCCTCTCTACTATTTACGGGTGTTGAATAAACGTTATTTTTTAAATGACCCCACAGAAAAAAGTCTAATGGGTTTAGGTCGGGCGACCTAGGTGGCCATAATACAGGTCCGCCTCGACCTATCCATCGATCACCAAAAACATTCGTCAGATGTTGACGTACTAAACGATCAAAGTGGGGTGGTGCACCGTCATGCATGTACCACATTTCAGTTCTTATTTGAAGGGGCACTTCTTCTAACAAAATATTTAGATTTTCCTCTAAAAATTGCAAATAAAGAGCACCATTAAGTCTTTGCTCCAGAATAAATGGACCAATCAAATGATTCCCGATAATGCCAGCCCACACATTCACCATAAACCTTTGTTGGTAGCGAGTTTGAACTAAAGCGTGAGGGTTTTCTTCATCCCAGACATGTAGATTATGCGAATTAATTATGCCGTCTCTTGTAAAACCTGCTTCATCGGTGAACAAAATAGATGTACCAAAATTATGATTCCGAATATGATGCTGTAAAAACCAATTGGCGTATTGAAGTCTTTTTGGATAATCATCTGGAGACATAGCATGTACTTTTTGGATGTGGTACGGGTAAAGCAATTGTTCTTTCAGAGTTTCATGTACAGCCCATTTTGTAACATTGTTTTGCGCCGCAAGCTTCCTTATGCTATTTGAAGGATTATTAGCAACGTCTTCCAATATTTGTTCCTCTACATGAGGGTCTCGTACTCTCCTCGGGGCTCCTGCTCCACCACGGCGTGGCAAAAAGCTTCCTAAATAAAGGATTCGGAAGAAATTAGTTTCACTAACGTTTTTCACTATTTTTTTTTACCTGTTTCTCTTAAACTACGATCAACTCTTTCAAAAGTTTTTGGACTCGGCAAATGTCGACCCGGAAACCTTTCCTCATAAAGTCTTCTTGCCTCCACGGAGTTGCATAATGCTTCCCCATAAATTAGGTGCATATCAGCATATTCTGCACAGGAATATTCTTCCATTTTTAAATGTTATTTCTAACGGCTTAAAACGAATACCACAATAAAATTGAATTTTTATTCTGTCACGCGCCTTTGACAAGTACTTTAAAATCAACAGGGTCTAACAACGAAAACAATAGAAAAGAACTCCATGGAGACAAGAGCAATAATAATTTGTAGATGTATTTTGGTCATAGATGTTGATTTTACAAGAAACGGCATTATTCATTCCCTTAATTCACCACCAGTAAATGTTTATGGTGAATCTGTAGGCTGGCACTAGCGGGAATGATTTTATTGTAAAAAAATAAATTTTAATTGTTGTTGTATTTGTTACCAATTTTTTTCAAAACCGATTTATCTCGCAAACCGTTCATTTTTTCGAAATAAATAAAGAGTACCATTTTTAAAGAAAAACCTTCAGAGTATCTAATAATAATATTTTCAGTTTGATAAAATTACTTCTGTCAAAATTTTGAGAAAAATTGTGATAGGGCCAGTCCGTTTCTGGACACCTGATAATAGCAAAAAGTTGATTTTAGCATCAAATCGTAGAGCTCCATGTGTAATACAACGTACGAAAATTTTATTAAAATATACAGGGTGGTTTCAAAGTTATAACCCTAAACGTTAATTTCTAGGTACCCCTTTGACCCCCCATAACTCCGTTAGGGGGCACATTAGGAAAAAAAATTATAGGAAGGACTAGTTTTATTTTGACCTCCCCTATACACTCCCGAGAGATTAGGAGGTACTTACCGGACACCCTGTATAATAAAACGGAATAAAGTAATGTACCTAACTTTATAATATAAATAGGGTGTAAATTTAGTGGATAATTGTTCCACATCTCTGAAACCCTTTTTGTTGGTTTGGGGTACACAAAAGGCCAGGCAGCCAAAAAAATGTGACCAACAAAAGATATAGAAAAACGTATAGAAGATTAGTCAACAAAAAAAGAGATACAGAAACAGATTACAAATTTATAAGAAAATAGTTTATAAAATACTTTTTGAAAGTACCTACCTTAAAAATATCTAGATTAGAAAAATACGTATTAAATATATTAAGACGCTGAACTAATTGGGGAATTCTGCTCAGATTAGGCTCTAAGGATTTTATAGGCAATTAGTAATATGATCTGAGATACAAGGTATGCTCAAGGTTATGGAATGAAGCTTGTGTGCTATTTTTCGCCTCTAAATAATTTAACTTATAAAATAAATAGCTTTCTATTGTATTTGTCTTTAGCTGTTAAACATTTAATTATGACGTAAAATAAATTTTCTTATTATTTTATTTTGCATTTATATGTACTATTTTAGTTTATTAAATGTTAAATGCATAAGCAGCTGCTTTTTTATTTGACTTGCATTAAATTACATATTTTTTGTATCGACTTAACTTTTCTTGCTTTCTCAATTTATATACACTACTAGAAAAAATTAGGCTGTGTTCAGTGAAAATGGTCCTGTCGAGATAAAAGCTTGAAGTCTCTAGTTTCAAGAACTTTTGACAAAAAATTTTTTTGAGCTATGATTATTGAGGAGTCAAAAGAAATACTTCGAGAAAATATTTTCAAATTTTTTTTGTACTGTCCACGGACTCAATCAATGTAGAGATCACTTAGCTCAATCAGTTTTAATTTGCTCCTTGAAAGGTCTCCGTACGACTATTACGACTTTGTACAATATACAGTGCTATTTTTTTTAAACCTGACATAGGCCAACTTTTTTATTTGAAGTGATAGACAAGTACTTCCAAATGCAAAGTTGTAGGAAATAACTTGATTAAGAAAAATTTACAAATAATTCTTTACAGCAGCTACAAAAGTGATATTTTTTAAATGGCAACACCGTATTTTTTTAACATAATTTGACAAACCTTCAAATTCTAAATAAAAAATGTTGTCACATTTCCTTATCGGAGTAGTCATTTTCGAACAATCAGCAAAAACAAAAATAATCTGCAGTCGGCAGGAACTAAAAGAAGCTAAAACAGCAATAGTAGGCCTTGGATATTAAACGAAAATTGTATTGTTTGAAAGGAGCTATCATTATTGTATTGTCATTGTGTTATTTGAAAGCTGTTGTATTTGAATGTGTAATAACGTTTTAATTCAATTGCTAACATGAATCAGTTATTTCATCCAAAAAAGGAAATTGAATAAATTTTTCTTCATGTTAATGACATAGGTATACGCAATGCGTGCACTGAATTCCATGCAAGACATTCCGATAAGCCTTTTCCAAATCCGGAGTTTTTAAGAATTAATTTAGTAAAATTGAAAACAACTGGTAGGATCTGCAAAAGGCTGACAACCATCTTCGTAATTGAATTAAAACGTTACTTTTTTACACATTCAAATACAACAGCTTTCAAATAACACAATGACAAACGATAATGGTAGCTCCTTTCAAACAACACAATTTTCGTTTAATATCCAAGGCCTACTATTGCCTTTTTAGCTTCTTTTAATTCCTGCCGACTGCAGATTATTTTCGTTATTTTCGTTGTTTTTGCTGATTGTTCGAAAACGGCTAGTTCAATAAGGAAATGTGACATCACATTTTTTATTTAGAATTTGAAGGTTTATCAAATTATGTTAAAAAATACGGTGGTGCCATTTAAAAAAATATCATTTTTATAGCTACTGCAGAAATCTGGCAATACCGGAAGGAATTATTTGTAACTAGTACTAGTCTATCACTTCATTTAAAAAAGTTGGTCTGTCAGGTTTTAAAAAAATAGCACTATATATAATTCGTCAGTATTATCACGTAGAGGCGTATGTGTATATCCATTTCTTGGATTATACGCTACGTGATAAGAGGGACCATATGGTTGAATGAAAAATGACACTTGTTTTTAATCATCGATATCTCAGAAATAAATTATTGTACAGTAAATCCAAATTTGGTTTTGAAAATAAATTCTCTACAAGGACTTGTCTAGTTTTTGAGGCAAAACATTTTTTTTAACATTGACATTAAAGTTTAAAAAAATGTATAAAAAAATTACTTTTTACGTTTTTTTAGAAAATCTACCGCTAATTTACAAATATTATTGAAAATACGAATGTTGAGAGAAATTTTTACAGTATGTAATGTATAACCCTGTAAAATGACAACTTGATCAATCCAACCGTTTTTCTGTTCCAATTGAAGTTTTGGAAAGAATTAATGGAACACGTTCATTGCTCTTAAACATTATGTAATCATTATCAAAATGAAAAGAAGAATTTTTTTAGACTTTTCCCACAATTTTAAATTAGATATTGTTTAAATCTAAGATAAGGAATATAAGTTTTTCAAAAATATTTTGATATGATACCTATATTATCATTATTTTCTATTTTCACCACAGTTTCATATTTTTATCACTGTGTTCATTTCCTTTTCTTGAATTATATTATTATATTGCTGTTTTATTTTTAATTACCTTGTTTTAGCTCTAAACAAAAATGCTACTTCCATTTATTACAGAATCACTTCTCAACGCATGGATCAGTAACATTAATTTTATGTTTATCCATTTTAAGCAAAATCAAATAAAATAACGTTGTTCTCCCAGCGGACCACAAAGATAGTTTTAAAGATTACTTACCTGTAATTCTGACGTGTCGGCCCACAAGACTTGCGGTGTCCTGCGAAAATAGTATAAAACTTTCCACATTGTTTTCTTTATCCTGCAATCGAGCGTCACATGCCGATAAATCGATGTTGCGGAGTTCACACTGTTTGGCCAGGGAATCACTGAAAAATAAAAAGCGTCTTGTAATCGTAGCATTCTTACGGCAAAGACCTCGAGCGTTGAAAGAGAGGTCATTCCGCTCTAAGGGCGAGATTAAAATGTCCCAGGAATTTTTAGGAATGAGTTAATGCCCTGGAAAATTAAAAAACGCAGCTGACGGAAACGATACAAAAAAATATGAGCTGAATTAGACAAATCTCACTACAGGGATCTCGGAAACGGTAAGAGGTACGAAGTAGCTTAAATGGGGGCAAAGTTGCGTAATTAACATTATGCCTCTAAAAAATCAAGACTAACATGATTAGTTTTCTAAATATTTGAAAAAAAAAACCGAAATGTTGGAAATTCGTTTTTGTTTCATTTCAGCCTTGTTTGAGGCGATATTGAAAAAAGAACAACACTTTCTCATGGCCACTTTTTGCCCTCTATCGAATGAATGGCATAATCAACTTTATATGTAATGTTTCGTCTCTCCAGGACCGTCATCAACTTCATTTTTTAAATACGACCCTGGAAATTTTATTACAATTTTTGCAAGCCGTCATGACCCCCACCAATACTGTACTGCCTCAGCCCAAACCAGATTCAGACGTCTTGTCTCGAAAAATTCATCTTCAGTGTATTCGTTCCAAATTTATCTAAATTTTTTATTTAAATTTCTTTGTTTATTGAATTATCGTACACTGTAAGTATCGTTAGACCCTGTGAAATTCATCTAGTTATTTAAACTATTACCACCACGCATTAAAATAAAACATTATTAGAGTTTTATTCCCGTGTCCATAGTTTATTTCTAGGCTTCTCGAGTGCTCAAAATTCAAATAAATTCCGATCTATTTTTTGAGGATATTCATACAAATACATCTGACATGCTCTTTCACAGTTACGGTTACAGATATAATAAATTTCGATAATATTATGCTTATCTTCATTTTCAACCTTTGCCAAAACGAAAATGTTTTTGAACATTTACAGTAATTTTTTAAAGATATTCAGTTGGCGTTTTGGTTGTTCATATGCATTTTTAAGAATTGATTTGTCATAATAAAATTAAAATTGTAATAATGATTTAATTTTGACGCAACAACTTATTGAGTCATGTATGACCAAGTGATGGTAATAGCTAATAACAATAAATGTTTTATTGTAGCGCATGGTGGTATTAGATTAAATAACTAGATGGATTTCACAGGGTCTGACGACACTTACGGTGTACGATAATTCAATAAACAAATTTATCTAAATAAAAAATTTAGATAAATTTGGAACGAATACATTGAAGATGAATTTTTCGAGACAAAACGTCTGAATCTGGTTCGGGCTGAGATAGTACAGTGTTGGGGGTCATGAAGGCTTGCAAAAAATGTAATAAAATTTCTAGGGTCGTATTTAAAAAAATGAAGTTGATGGTGGCCCTGGAGAGACGAAACGTTACATACAAAAATTGATTATGTCATTCGATAGAGGGCAAAAAGTGGTCATGAGAAAGTCTTCTCCTTTTTTCAATATTACCTCAAACAAGGCTGAAATGAAACAAAAACGAATTTCCAAAATTTCGGTTTTTTTCAAATATTTCGACAACTAATCATGTTAGCCTCTTACCGTTTCCGAGATCCCTGTAGTGAGAAGCGAATTTGTAACAGCCTGTATTTTAACTAAAGCGTAATAAATTGTTTATAATTTAATACAAGATACATATTTCGATTATTAAGAAGTACTTTAATATTTTTCACGAAAATGGTAATTTTAAAAATAGGGGGAAGTTGCATACATTGACCCTGTACCAAAACTGAACTTGTTCTCCACAGATTTGTTCTTATCAGTAAAAAACGAAACGGTTCTTTTAATAATTGGCCGCTATATTTGGATTTCCCTCCAACACAAGCTGAAGTAGAATTCCAAAAAGGTGGCGAAAAATCAAAAAATAAAGTTTCTAGTAGGGGAATTTTTACTGTTGAGTTGGCTAGAGTAATATCCCGAGTGTCGGAATCCGTTAGTGTTAGGGTTAGATCATATGAGTAAATAAATATACTCATATGGGTTAGATCCCCTATACCTGCTTTTTTAATTAATAGAAAATTGACTGCTGCTCGAGCAACATCTGGCTTGCACGCAGGAGAACAAGCAATACTTGTACAATAGTTATAGAATTTTGTAGAGTTCACCGATTTATTTTTAACAATTGGAATCAACTCATAAAGTAAGTAGATTATGATTATGTAGGTTAAAATAGGTATAGGTAGGATATTTTTTATAGATAATACTAATAATAAGCTACTAAACTTGCATGCATTTTACGTTATAAAATGAACAAATAATTTAGATTTGACGAAAAAAGTTTAATAATTCTGCCATTTAAATTATTGGATATAAAAAACAAACTATTATCTGTAAAATATAGAAAAATTCAGCTGCCTTTAAATATGAGTTTTTGTAAAATGTAAAGTAAAATGAAGTTAATCTCCAAAGAGCATATCGTGTTACGAACCAAGCTAACAGTTCCAGATTTTTCGCACAAATACTCGAGAACAAAGACATTGGACAATATTTTTTCAAAATTTCTAGTTTCTAGTATGTAGGTACCTTCAGATCCACGTACATTATACAGGATGATTCACAACTTATCCAAAAAAAATTGGGAATAGATGCGGCATGAGAAACAGTCAATATTGTAAAAAAATTTTGAAAAATCCTTATAGTTTCCGAGAAAAGATTATTGAAGTGTGTAGTAGTTTCAAGCATTACATCGCTGGACAACTGTAGTCTCTAGCGTCATTCGCAATACGCGTGGAGAGACACGTGGTCTCAGCGACACCGAATACTGAAATCTGATATTACAATCGTCGTTGCGATAGTGTTTACAATAGTTTTTTTGTGTCATCGTGAAGCATTTGTGTTATGGTGAAGCAAGACGACATTTGTGTTAGTTTGTGGAAACAAAATTTTGAATAGTTTTTGTAACATCAGTTCCGTCAAATTATTTTATTATTTAAAACCACAAATTATTTTTATTGATTAATAATAACAATGGCAGCAAAAGCAGTTGAATTTGCTGATATAAAATAAATGCTATAAATTCTATTTATTTCTTTCCTTGCAAAATTCTTTCAAGTTTTGGTCCGTTTTTATCACACTTTACCGCCATGTCGGTCGCATTATGTGAGGTCTGGTTTTACAGTGGACCAGTTTCCAGTGCCGTGCAGAAGTGTATTTTTAAATCATTTTCGATCTGCCCTTTTTGATTTTTTCCCCTGTAGGTACATCCAGAATTTTTTCAGAATAACTACCTACGAAACAGCTTAGATCACTGTCGTCAGATGTAATAACATTTTTATTACTTACGAGATGTAAGACATGAAGAGATTGCGGATAAAAAAGAAGTTATTTCAACTTCAGAACGTTTGAAGGATTCTGATGCTGCTATAAATGAAGATGACTCAGCTGATGATAATTCTTCTTTTTTTATAAAAAAAATGAATTTTATATTGTAACCCTGGCACAGGATTCAAATAAACAATTGCGGATACTTATTTAATAATATGTATCAATACTTTTATATGTGTGACATTATTTTAATTATCATTTGCTGTTTAAAAAGAATATAATGTTATTACTGGAATTATTTTTCTTTTTTAAAGTATTTATTTTATTATAAATAAACAATTTTTAATAAACAATTTTTTTGGGTGATTTCTTATGATTGTCATATTATATTTTTTTGCATTACATAATCTTTAAATTCTTATTCTACTACTTTTTGTGTATTATGCATTTGATAATGATTCACTTACGCTAATTAAATCTTATTTACATGGAAGATCCCAGAGTATTCTTGTTAATAATATTTTATCTATCAGTTTAGAAATTATCTCTGGTGTTCCTCAGGGTTCGATTCTGGGTCCCCTGCTTTTCATAATTTATACAGCCAACATATTAGAATCAGTTCGTCAATGCAAACTTCAAGCATATGCCGATGACACTCAACTTTGTTTTCATTTTAATATTAATGATTTTCGACAGGCAAATGACGCCATCAACTCTGAGTTTAAAATTGAACTCGAATAAGTCGAAATTTTTGTTTTTTGGTAGTGAAAAAAATTTGAAAATTTTAAGAAGTAATTTTGAGGTTACGATCGATGGTATTCCAGTTCCCATTACTACCCATGCAAAAAATTTAGGAGTAATTCTTGACTGTAAGTTGCGTTTTGATGAGCATGTTAAATCACTACTACAAAAAGCTCTTAGGTTGATTTATTGTAGTCGTCACGTTCTTAATAAAAAAACTTAAAATCATGTTATGCGAGTCACTTGTTCTTTCCCATTTCAATTATTGTGACTAAGTATATGGTCCTTGTCTTACACAACAGAAGAAATACAGGATTCAAAAAGTACAAAATTGTCGTCTTATTAGTGGTCTAAGAAAATATGAGCATATATCACATGTTATTGGGGAGATCAAGTGGCTCAACATGGAAAATCGTAGGCGTCACCAGCTTTGTAATTTTTTCCATAAGATTATTACTATTCCTTCTCATCATTCTTTAAAAACTAATTTTATACAGCGTGGTAATGATCATTCCAGAGATATTAGATTTAAAAACAAATTCACGATGCCCCATCATAGAACTGCTTTTTTCAGAAGATGTTTTACATACTCGTACAACGCTATTACATTTTATAACTCTCTTCCTGACGATTTAACATCAACAAATTTAAATATAAAGTTAAACAATTTTTATTGAGCAGGCAGCATACTACGTAAATTGTTAATGTGAGTCTTGATTTGATACTTAAGTTTGATGTGCCATTATTTTTTTTGTTTTTGTTTGTAAGTGTAAGTTTGTTTTGCAATATCATTCTACTTTGAATTTCAATACTTTCTCTATTATGATATTGCTTACCTTATGGTTGAGTGGAGTAGCTTTGGCTAGACTTCCCCATAAGTTAGGTTAAACCATTTTCTTATATTTGTGTTTGTACTATCGTAATTATCTGTTAAATA